TACAACCAGTTCAGTGCTACCAGGCTCTCAGCAAGCATTCATCACCTTTCATCATAACTTTGGTTTTAGTGCGTTTGAAGATTCACATGTTATTTTCCAATTAAATGCTTCACAAATTAATTTTAACTAGTTCAACAGCCAGTGAGGTAGTCTGCAGCTGGACAATATTAGTCTTAGAGTGATAATTCTGGAGTAATCGAAATACTGCAGTAGAGTATTGCCATCTGATGCAGTTTGTCAGAGCAGCAGCATGAAGAGTAAAAGACAGTATGTGTATGGCTTCCTTTAACCTGATGGCATGAAAACTGTCTATGGTCCCCACACTCTATCACTGTTGAGTGCCAGGCTTATTCACGCGGCTCGTCTGAGTGGACGAAAGACTGCTGATGTGAAAGTCTTCAAGGGCTGGAGCCTATATGAACTTTTTCAGACAAGCAAACTAGACTTGGTTATCTTATGTAGATGGATAATGTTGTCTGATAAGAGGGAATTTACTCTTCTTTATACTTATAATCTTATTTAATTGGGTTTTACATAGTGACTAGTCATCCCAGTGCTTTGTATTAGGGCTAATCCAATTTCATGTAGGTTCCTGACATATTTGGTATTGTAAATTCAACATACAACATACATGTCTGGGTATATCTGGGATAGTCATTTACGAATTGGTAGGGAAAAATATTAGTCATCAAAAAATATATCGTGTGCAGCTGAATTTTACGTTTTAGGGCAGAGTGGCTGAAAAAAAAGATAAATTTGAAAGTCTAGTCTCTAATTCAGTGTGCTAAAAATTATTTGCTCTCACTGATTTCAGGTCTAGCCACTGTTTGCTGATAGTGTTGCAGGCAGTGGAGAAGGCGGCTGTAGTGCTAGCTAGTTTCGTGTCTGTTATACATGTACTTAACATTTTTATATAAAAAAGGGAATACATATTTTTAATGTGTTGTTATTTTCCTGTTTCTTCTTACAATGCTTTTGTTCTATGAAACATGCTCCAGCTGAGGGCAAAAGGGCCTTGCTGCCAGAGATCACCTGTGAATTCCTCAGCTTGCCTTTTGATCGGAAAGGCTGCTGATTTGACAGCAGGATGGCTATTGAAGGCCACCCGTTCCTGTCACAGATCACACACTTCCGTGACACCTCAGGGTTATGAGTGTCAAAGGCAGCTAACAGACCTGGTAACATCAACATAAACCTGTGCTTGCTCAGAAACCGGGAGGTGATCCTTCCCTTACGCCACTGAATAGACAGTCTGTGCCATCGCGATCCGGCTTCAGTAAGACAAAGCAAAGACTGCAAGCCTTGCCATGATGGATTTCCCTTGCCTTTCTCTAACGGGGCTGCATGCATTGTGCAGGAGGAAAGGAGGCAGCCAGCATTGCTAATAAATGGAGTAACGAACAGGAGTACCTAGGTGGAGTTATTTCACTTGCATGCCTCTGCCTGCCTCCCAAGTGTGCCTGCCATGTGGCTGATGATATTTGTCACACTGTGGTACTTAGCGGTGGTTCCCGGGTCGCTCTCTCCACTGCATTCCTCATGAAAGCATGAATATTTCATTAGCTGTACACATTCATCTATATTTGAGTATCTTCAGGCTGAGAGCAGAAACTTGACATTTCTTCTGGAGCAGCATGCCTGCGCATTGCTGTGGTTTTACATGTGATGTACAGGAATCTAACTGCACTGTCATGAGCTCCCAACCTGCGCCCATGGGCTGTGTGGAGGCCGGTTATAACCGTTCTGCTCAGGATGTAACCCCACAGGGGCGTTCGCAATGCGTAGGCCTCATATTCATTGTATGCTCTCCTCAAGGCTTGGTGTTGCCTATCACTTAACATTCCTCAAGGTGATTTAATTGGCATGACCATGGTATTAGCCTTATCCCAGATGGGAAACTAAGTAATGATTTTTTTTTTTTTTTAATTGCCAACCATGAAAACAAAAATAACCCTTCCTTTTCCCAGAACAACATAAAAACCTTTCAAGTGCAGTGAGGGAATGAAATGAATTCCTTATCCCATGGGAAACTAAGTAATTATTTTTTTTTTTTTTTAATTGCCAACCATGAAAAATAACCCTTCCTTTTCCCAGAACAACATAAAAACCTTTCAAGTGCAGTGAGGGAATGAAATGAATTTTTATGCCAGCCTCCTCTCATCCCGATGTTTTCGTCTGCAGTCTGCAGCATGGTGATTTCCAAACTGGAGTAATGGGCTATGAGCTTTTAATTATGTATATAGGGAGGAGCTAAAAGTACAACTAAGCGTAACTAAAAACAAAAATAACCCTTCCTTTTCCCAGAACAACATAAAAACCTTTCAAGTGCAGTGAGGGAATGAAATGAATTACACAATTTTATGCCAGCCTCCTCTCATCCCGATGTTTTCGTCTGCATGCTACAGCATGGTGATTTCCAAACTGGAGTAATGGGCTATGAGCTTTTAATTATGTATATAGGGAGGAGCTAAAAGTACAACTAAGCGTAACTAAATATATCTAGGTATAACTAAATACAACTAAAGTTAGTATAACTAAATAATTTACATTAATTTCCTTTTGGTGTGTCTCATTTTTGTAGCTATTATAATGAAAAAATGCCCCAAAATTGCCTTTTCCAGCCTGAAGGCAGAACCTGTCGTGAAGGAAGACTAGAAAAGAAAAATAAGGCTGCATCAAATCACAAAACCCATGTTCCTAATTGTTAAACAACCCAGGAGAGAGTTTTACCTGAATAAGAAAACAAAGTTCGGTCCATTTTAGCCATGTCTTTTCTTACCTATCTGTCAAAATGAAAATTATTTCCACCTATCTCTGAAGGCTGCTTGCTACTGGGACGAGACCTTCGAGTGGCTTAGGGACCTCAGCTCAGCACTAACCCTGGCTCCAAAAGTATGGTGAGGGAGAGCGGGACCCGCTCTGAAAGTGCACAGCCCCTTTGAAGTCACTGGGATTTAACAGCTCCGACTGAGGAGAGAGTTGGTCTTACTATATGTATTTAAAACTGCCAGATTGATTTTAAACAGTGTTACCTACTTTGAACTTTTTTGAACATAAGATATTTGTAAGGTTCTTTCAGCTCACATCACAGTCACTGCTGTGGTGCTGTAGAGCCTAGCTGTCTTTCTGTGCTGTGTTAAGTTTTCTCTGGAGACTGTCTTCTGCTTTATTGCTCTGGTTGCTGAAGGGACTGAGCAGCCTTCCCAATGGTCGGGAGCAAAGCTGCTCATCAGACCTGGTGTTTGGCAGCAAAGTGACAAGCTGGAATACAGACTCCGCTTCACTTTTGTCTGTTTTGCCTTCTGGGTTTGAGGAGTTTGCAAGGGGACACAAGAGATCTATTTGTGGCAGCAGAGAAGAGAGTATGCCTGTGAAAGGACATTCTCGCTGGAGAGACACTGATCAGAAGAAAGAGCCTGCTGCCCTCTTGAACCTCGAGTGTAAACAAGACATTGCATGCGAAATCTGGGCTTTGCTGAAGCTGGTAATGTTGTCATGGGTTTCAGGTGAGCCAGGTTCAGTGTGATCAAACTCCCTGGCTGCCAGAGCTGCATGGGCATGGCAGCAAGCAAGGCAGGCGCTAAGCCACCCCACGTTTCTCCTTTGTTGGCGTTAACATTGTTCGGACTCATCTGCCATTAAGGATGCCGTGATGGAAATTAGATTGGGATCACTCCTGCAGTACATGCTAGCGGGTAACACAGATCCCCCTCCCCAGGGAGTCCATCGGAGTGTGGGTTCACCCAGCTGTTCAGGGGCTCCCCGGCGAGGCCAAGGCTTGACCCTGCAATTCAAATACCTTATGGTACAATTTACACATAAATACTGAAAACTGCTTTTATCCCTAGTCCTTATGTGCTGGTGTTTGCGTATATCTCTTCAAGTATTTTGCTTTTGTGGTGGGTTGGAAAGCCAGTTAGAAACAAGGCAAGAAAAGAAGATGGAAGTGTATTTCCACGTGAAGTGGCTGTGAGGCAGCTCCAGCCCCACCATCGCTTACGGCCTGGAAAGCACTGTGCAGGCAGAAGTAGGGCAGGGTGTACAGGGTCTCTCTGGGATATTACTCAGCTTGCGGGAGGGAACGCCGGGAGGTTCACCTGCCGAAGAACGCTGACAGGAAACGTGAGAAGTGGACACATGTCATCAGATCAGTAGATCAGTCCACTGTAGGGGGCTGCAGGTCACAAGGAAGCTGCCATGGTGTGGAAGAGGCAGGAAGGTGTTCCTGTGACTCAAGGAGTGGAGTCTGGTCCTAAGGGAGAGCCTGGTTTCTTGGGCTTTGTTTGATCTTGTAGGTCTTTTGGTGACGTACCTGAATCTACTGGGCTTGATTCTCTAGTTCAGGAAAACAGATCATACTTATATCAGCTGAAGAGTTATCCCTAAATTATACCAAAGAAGGAAATCAAAGGCTGAAAATTTCACGAGCCTGGTAGTTGTTACTTGAGATGTGCTTCACTTGCCCCATACCTTGCAGCTGACTTCCATGGGATTTGGGATTGCCTGGAGCCATTTGGGAGCTCTCTTTACAGTTGGCTGTACATCTGGGCTTAAGGGATTCTAGCCCCGTGCATTTGCTCTATCCTGGAGGAATTCAACGTATTGCTTCTGATCCTCACTGGGGGCTGAGGATGGTGCATCACTATCCTTGCGTTCCCCTGCTTGTGGGCTGGAACTGGTTCCGTCTCTAGCCCAGAACTGATGTCCCATGGAAAAGGACAAGAGGGGTAATGAAGACTTTAGTCAATATGTTAAGGACATGGGAATGCCTGGCAGGGCTGATCTACCTGAGGGATCTCTGAAAATGAGGCATTTTTAGCCTGGGTACACTGGCTTTGGGATTAATTTGCCCTGTTCCTGTGACATTAACCAGCCAAAGATCTGAGTTACATTTTGAATGTTTCATTGAATGAAGCAGGAGCAGGAGCTCTCCCCAGCAAACTTGCTGCAGATGTTAAATCCAGATGCTGTACAGTAAATATTTTTCTCCTCTCTTCTAGTTCAGGTGCATTTTCAGATCAAGATTCTCTGCAAAGAAATGGTAAGGCTTTTTTTTTTCAGTGGGCTGAATGGCTGGATACTAGCTTGGTTAGTGTGGCTGTAAAAGGTCTTCATTCGCAGATGTTGCTTCTGTTGGCATTAGTGACTCTTCTGTCAAATGTGTTGTTAAAGCATATCCCTCTTTAGAAAATACCCTTTAAAGGATTTGCCTGGCTAAAATACTCATTTGCTGACTGACGCTGTGATACAGTGAGAATGTGGAAGAAAGAAGTATTCACACTTTTTTTTTTTTTTTTTTTT